TTTGGGCAACCTGGGCTGGTGGGAGGTGTCCCTGCCCATGGCAGGGGGTGGCACTGGATGGGCTTTAAGGGCCCTTCCAACCCAAACCATTCTATGAAAAGAACAACAAGTGTCATTTTCTTCCCCCTCCATCTTTCAAAACCTCACCACTACAGAACAAGCATCAGCTGGAGGAGGCTCTCCACTGAAAGTGCTCTAAAGCAGAATATTAAAGAATGACAAGCAGCTAATCAAGACAAGCAGCATTTCAAAGGACTGCCACGCATCTAGGTGTCCTCCCAGTGACAGCAGGTCTTTCTGCCACTGCTCCCATATCAAAGCCAACGGAAAGCATCAGGAAATAAAAGGAGAATTTACACAGCACGGAGCAGCTCCAAGTAACAGGGAGTCCACAAAAACTGGTGAAACACAATCTTTGGAGAGAAATGTGGTGAAACAAACTATGGTTCCACTACAGCACTGGACATGCTGGGCTGCTCCTGGACCGGTCACCAGCACGGACAAGATCTGGACTCAATAGCGGAGGTACGGAGAGCAGGAAACAAGATGGCATGGAGAGGAGCATGGGCTGGGAAAGCCAGGCTGGGAAAACTGCCCCCGTGAACTGGGCATCTTGGGGAGGAGCAGATGGCAAACACCCTGGGTCACCAACAAGCCAAGGAGGGTGTCTTTTAGACTGTTTTGAACCACTTCACATGTATTACTGCAGATCAGCACGTTTTTCTTTAGCCACGACTCTCCCCTTGAGGAATCTGCAGTGTTTGGAAGGTGACTGGCAGAGTCACGTGTAGATGGAGGCATCTGTGTTTCCACCAAACCTTTTAGCACTCACTAGAGACTTACTACAGGGATTTTTTTCCCCCCTCCACAACTTGGTTGGATAATTATTAGCTACGGAGTATCTGCTTTTGTGTAACAGCTGCATAATGTGTTGGTAATACATTCCTAATGTACACCTTGGAAATAAGTGTAATAAAACATAAAGACAGCATCTTCTGAGATGTATTTTATACATCAAAGATTCATCCACCTGTTTCTCCATTGCCAGTAATGAGAATGCTCTATCCCCCAGTTCAGCATTTCAGCGAAAATAAGGATTTTGCAATAAACACCAATTTTAACACAATACTTTAAATGAAATCTCAAAAGGAAAACCCTCCTAATTACGGTTATCAAACTTTCACTAAATGCATTTAGTGACCAAGTTTCATTCAACATTTGAGTTTAAACAGAGGGAAATAATCACAGGGCTGTAGTTACTTGCTGCAGCTTCCAGCTTGCGCTTGTGGGGAGGATCCTCGATGATCCGGTTGATGTCGCCACGGTGCCTCAGGTCCACTGGCTTCTCCCAGACCGACAGCTGCATTGTAGGGTTGAAGAAGAAGACCCGGTCATCTCCAGTCCAGACTACACACCTATTCCAAGTGATAAACTATGCTTAGATCATGTCAGATACACTCACACACAAGAAATTAAACTGCAGCTGGCTTATTGCATCTCTGCTTGCAGCGTGGGGATGAGACTCCTCTTAGACTGCCTGCCAGCCCCCCTCGGGGAGAAAAAACTCCCTCCAGATCAATAAAATGCCATAGAAATGGCCATAACACCTCAAAAAAACAGTAGGTCAAATATGCTGCCATGGAAGGGAAAAAGAAGCAGGTGAGGAGGAATGCCATCATGCTCTCAGCAGGAGAAGCCTCAGGAAAATATATTTCATGTTTTAATCCCCATGGCATCCCTGCAGCATCCCCACAGCATCCCTGCGGCATCGCCCATGGCCTGAAATCCTCACCATCCTTGCCAGACAGTAGGAGTCATCCCCTGCCAATGAAATAAGGAGGAGAGAAAGAGGAGAGCACCGCGGGAACTGGCTCATGATATGCTTGCAGCCCAATCCCCGCATTTTCCTTGAGTTCATGCTGAATGAGGAACAGCTCCAGCGGAAGCTGGAAGAGGAGCCCAGCGGTGGCACCACCACCCAGGGGAGGAAATTGTCCCCAGCCCACTGATGCTGTTTGGCAAGAGGAACGGCACTGGTGAGGGGCTCCCAGCAGGTCTGATGGCACTGCTTACCAGGGTGATCCTGGCACGGGGGTGGAGGCCACGGGCTTGTTGCCGTTTGATGCGCTGTCATCCTCAGTCACCAGTTTAAAGGAGTGATCCTTGAGAGACAGAGAGAGATCAGTCCACAAACAGCGCTGATGCAGAAGAGTGCCACTGTTACAGAAATCACCCCCATTCATGTGGATTACCCTCACTGCCACCGTTCCACGAATGGCTTTAGGAACAACCAGCCACCTTGAGAACAGCCTGGATAAACGGGAAATAATAAAAACGTCACCCCACCTACGGCAACACAAATGGAAAACCAGCAGATAGGCTTCTGTCCATGCCAACAGCTCACTTGGGACAGGTACACCCAGACTCTGGGGTATAACTCTGCCTGTTCCACCAAGGAGGAGCCCTCTCGGCAGCAGCGCCGGCGGGGAGCTCCAGTCCACGGTAACCCCAGGATGGGGGGAGCTGCTGCAGCCCTGGCCCCACCGAGCCCCTGCGCCAGGGCTGGGTTGCTCTGGCCGTGCGGATGGAGCCACAGCCAGCAGGGCAGGGTTACACAGTACAGCCGACAATGCAGGCAGGGTTTTACCGGCCAGCAAACCGCTGTTCATTGCTGCAGCTTACGGAGATGTGCTGTAAGGGGGACACATGGGAGGAAGGCAAGGATCTAGTCCAGTGCAGAACCAAAGCATGCACTTAATTAAAAAATAATAAAGCATATGTCCAGAGGTCTTAATCTTGAAAGCATTTTACAACTTAAAGCCCTAAGGAACGTGCCAGCGCAGCTGCAAACACCTGCAGTGCCCGGCAGCCCGGGAAGGTTTGCTGCACGGAGCCTACAGATGGCAATGCAATGGGAATATGGCAAATGAAAACAAACTGAGCTGCAGCTGAGCTCACAGGTCCTGCTCTTGCAGGACACAGCTCCTGAGGCGAAAAGCACGTGTGCATGGGGCAGAAGTGTGGGGGAACAGACACGTCTGCTCCAGGCGGCTTTGAGCATCTTCCGCACTGCTGCTGAGCCCGAGATGCTCTTCCACACCCCTGTGCCCAGATCAAGGTTTCCCTCTTTTAGCTCTAGACATTTTCACAATGTCTGCATGAGCTGTGCAGAAAGCAAATATTTCCATTTATTTCTCAGAAGCTGGGAATATGATTCAGGAATCCCCTTCCTTAATACAATAATCCAGGCTTTTGTACTAAAAGCTAATGGAGCTACACACGGATAGTATTGCCCATCTGTAAGTTGCACACACGATTTACTATCCGTTTACATCCACTTGTCAGTTTTATTTTAGGACCTTGCAATTATCTGGAAAGCAGGGCTACAGAAGCACCCAACACAGTGAAATTATTAACACCAAAAAGGTGAGTGCCACGAAAACAGACAGCTCCATCAACTGCAGCAAACCATCCCGTGTCCCCAGCACAGCTCCAGCCCCAGGACAGCCCCTCGTGCTGACTCTGATCCGGGCTGTTCAGCAGCTCCAAGAGGTTTCTAAAGGAAGAACCCCCACCGCAGACCTTATCGCCGCCGCTCTCCCCAGGCGTGCTCTTCCTCTCCGTGTGTAAAATCAAGGTCGGTGGGCAGGAGGATCTGCTCGATTCTTTGCCGTGGTCTGTGAGGGGAAAGGATTTCTTTTTAATGTGCAATTAAGACATCCCCAACAAGCCACAACCCAACGCCTTTTTTCACGGGACATCCCCTCCATGGGGCTCAGGGCTGGCCAGCCCCTCTCCTCCCAGTCAGGAGATACTGGTGTGCACTGGGTCAACCTCCGCAGGGGCCACTGAGGAGTGTGTGATGGCATTGCCCCTGGAAGGGGCTGTAAGTTTATCTCCTTTACAAACAGCCGCTGCATCCTGAACCATCAAATGCTAGAAAGTGTTTCTGCTGCCTACAGAATGTGTGTCGATAACAGAGAGGCTGTAAGGGATGGCAAGAAAAGGCAAAAAGGCAGCAGGTATGAGACAGACCCAACAATCAGAAAAAAAAGTAGTTTTCACTGTAAGAAATATTAAGGAAGACATTGTAACTTCCCCCCCCCCTGTCTTCTTGCCCTCTTAAAACATGTATTTGGGGGGTTGAGTAGAGACACTCTCTAGTCATCCAGCCCATCCATATATAAATATTTTTTTTTCCTCTCTGTTAGTTAGCCGGTCCCAGGGAAAGCATTCGCAGCCCCCTGCCACTTGTTCCTCCCAACCCCAGCCCTCGCCTTTGCTGGGACAGCACAGAGGTGTGACAGTGACAGCTCCAGCGGGAGCACACGTGCAGGATGAGAGGCTCCAGCCCCGACCCTGCGCCGCAGGACTGGGATTTCTGCCTCAAAGCCTGCAAAATTTTCAGCAGCGTTAAACAACAAATAATGATGAAGTTCCAACTCAAGCCTTATCCACCTCAAGAGCTATGGAGCACTGTCTCTACCGAACAGACTGAAACTTTGGTATCGTAGCTTCAAGCAGCTATTTGCCAGAACTGTGCCTCTTATAGCAGATTCACATGTCAGAATGCTGTTCAATTCACCCTCAAATTACTCAAGACTCCAGAAAAGGCACACGGGAAAGAGGAGCTGCACTGAGACTGGAGTCTCAGCCGTTTGACTCTGCTCCTCCATGGAATATATCACAATAATAAAAATTTAAAGGTATGTCATTCTTCTCAGAAGATGACTTAGTTTTTATGGGTAGCGGATAAGATTTACAAACCACGGCAATTAGTCTCCACACTAAAGGAGCTAGGAGTAGGGAGCAGCTAATACATATCAAAAGGATCTCTAAATTTACCTTTCTTCATGAGACACCTGGTAATGGGGGATCAAAACACTACCAGGCATATCAGTCTTTGAACGCAACAGATGGCACTGGCAAACGGTGGCACCACCGGGAGAAAGCCCCGTGCAAGGACAGCAAACCCAGTCGAAGGACACCCCAGGATGGAGGATGCTCCCCACAGTCACGGCTCTGTGAGATCTGGAGGCACAATGAGGACACCTCCCCTCAATTACACTCTGCTCATATATCCCCCATCTCCACATCTTGCCAGAAGAAAGCCGGTGTGGAGTTTCTTAACCGTTCCACAGAGGTATTGCATTATCTTGCCCTGAGTTTTCCCATCGCTCCAGTTCTCCCAATGCTCTTTTTTTTTTGATATCCCTGGAGGCTTGTTCTCCTTTCCCGTGGCGTGGCACAAGCCAGCCCTCGGGTGCTGCAAGGTGTCCATACAGCCAGCCTCCCTTCTGATGAGGTTTTTAAACCAAAATATTAGCATGTGTTCTGGAAATACACTTGTAGAGAACAAAAGGAACCCTGAGACATCCCCCTCTGCAGCAAACATTCCTTTGCAAGTCAGTGATTTTGCAGAAATTTAAAGGCAGCCAGATGAGCCCAGGTTTGGGATGCGTTTTGCAGGTACCACAGCTGGATCTGGTCATGTTCTGCAGGCACACAGCTGGATCTGGCCACATTCTGCAGGCACACAGCTGTATCCTGACATATTCTGTAGGTGCACAGCTGGATATGGCCACGCTCTGCAGATGCACAGCTGGATCTGGCCCTATTCTGTAGGTGCACAGCTGGATCTGGCCACATTCTGCAGGCACACAGCTGTATCCTGACACATTCTGTAGGTGCACAGCTGGATATGGCCACGGTCTGCATCTGCACAGCTGGATCCTGCCACATTCTGTAGGTGCACAGCTGGATACGGCCATGCTCTGCAGATGCACAGCTGCATCTGGCCATATTCTGTAGGTGCACAGCTGGATCTGGTGTTGGGCTTGGGGCACCACAGCTGACCACATGCTGGGAGCCTTTGAGGACAATGGAGCTGAGCAGCGTGGTACATCTCGACATTTCCAGCTCTCGACTCTTCTGCTCTTGCCATGAAATAATCCCCGAAGCAACGACTCTGGAAGGCCAATTAGCTGCAGATGAAACAGCCACAAACAAATTGCTGTTCAGGTTCCGTCACTCGAACACGGAGCAGCTGGACGTGGAGCAGCACACTTGGGAACCGATGCTTAATGGACCCGGGATTTCTTTTTTCTTTTAACAGGGAAATCACATCAACCCCACTTCCAGCTCTGCTTCTTTCTCAACCATTTCTCTAATGCTAGAAAAAAAAGCTTTTTATTATGAGAATTTTTACTCTTTTATAGTCTTCATTATCATGTTGGTTTAAGAAGTAGCCAATACGCACACACGCAGGAGGAACAAGAACACATGTTTACCCAGCTTTACCAGCATTGATACAAACAGATAAATGTCAGCTGGCAGAGCCAAACAAACGTGGAATTCAGCCGAGGATTTCCCCACAGCTGCCGCTGAAGAAATGCAATAGGAGAGGGAGCCTCAGCCACACTCACACAGCCCCGGGAGCGGCGGGTTGATGCCCAGGAAGGTAGGACGTACAGTGGCATTGCTTTTGTCACGGCTGCTCTGCCCCAGCTCTTTAATAACTGAGGATCAGCCTGACGTAGGGAGCACGGACGTGCTGGTGGGGGGAGGCTCTCGTGCGTGGGCAGCTGCTCTCACTCCTGGTTGAACCTTGCACATCTTCAGCATGGAGACACTGCATGGCTTCTCCCTCCTTTGCAAAGCTCCCCCCAGCACCCCATCAGGAAAGCACAAGCCCAGGGAGGTACCTGGGGGCTCGGAATTGAGCATCACGGGCACGGCACATGTAGGTGAGCTGCTGCAGCACGCAGGGCATCAGGCATTGGCGTGTGGAATACACCGCCACCACAAAGTTCTGGCCAGCCAGCACATATGAAATAAGATGGAAATAAAAAAATAAAAATAAAAAAAGAAAGTCCTGGAAGTCACTGTGCATGTCAGGAGTCATTTAGTTTCATATCTGTAGTTGAACACTGCGATCGGTTTCCCTAAGTATAATGTCAAGAGAAAAAAAAAACTCTGCTTGCCAGGGAGGGAATTGAGCAGATCCCTCTCAGGACTTCTTAGATCGTCACAGATTTGTCCCCTGCACGCGCAGCAGAAGGACAGCCAGCAAGATGCACGCTCACCTTCCACTGGCAACGCTGTACATCTCTGCTCAGCTTTACTTTCTCGTTAACTCACCTTTTTCCCCCCCCTCTTTAAGTGCATAAAATAAACTGCAGCCTGACAATTAAGCTACTGCGACGTATTTCCACCGCCATCATCACGCACCCTTCTTTGCCCCTAACCTTAGCAGCGTCATTACTGACGCCGCGCTCCTGCGCTTGCAGTAACACTGCCGAAGGATGCGCTGGAGATGGGAGGATAAAGATCTCTGATTAAAGAGACTTCTCTGGGGCTCCGCGGCAGGTAGAGAGCCATGAATAATTCACCGTGTGAAAAGTAAAGTAGCAAAGCTATCTTGGGTACATCACAGAGGATGCAGGTGTATGATCATAAACATCTTATTGAAAGCAGAATTAGAGAGGGAGAGGGAAGATTGATTCACGTCGCAAGAAGCTATGGCCAAGAGATAATAAAAATTTGCTTTGCAAAGGTATTTATAGGCCAAACCTCCATCAATCTCAAAAGAAGTTTAAAATTTTGATTCTAAATATTTCTGAGAATTGGGTTTACTTCAAGAGCACACAGACAAACACTCGGGCTTTTATTACCCCACCGGCATCTCTGCAGGTCAGTTCTGTCTCTCCCCACAACCTCACTGCTCTCTTTTTTGCGATTAGCCTAAAACCCTATCTGCCTGACCCACAACTCCTCCTGTGCTGGTTCTGGCTCGAGCCAATTGTGGGATCTCCGTGCTGAGTCCATGCCCCGCGCCCGTGGGCAGGGATGCCCCGTCAGCCCATCCTCCCTGCTGCGGGAACAGACCCTGCTCCTGCCTCCAGGCTGGTTTTCACCCTTCCATCAGAGCCTGTTTTCTGCTCTCCCCAGTTTCGCCGTGCCCTGCCAAACGCTCTGTGTACCCTCTTGGACCAAGTCTCCCTGAGCAGCGCTTTTTTTCCTTCTGCAGCAACCTGTTCCCACTCACCCCTTTATTTTTCTGGCGATTTGTAATGGGAGCAGCACAAGAACAAGGACAAATTCTTTGCCCGCTGAGCAACACCGTGGGCTCCGTGCCCGGTGCAGAGTTCAAGGACAAACTCACTTCATTGCTGGACTTCAGGCACACAGCCAACACTGCCCAACAGATGCTATTTGCCACTACCTTGGAAATTATCTTTGTTAAAGCAGGAAAAGGCAAAAAACCTGTATGGGCATATTTCCTTGGACACAGAGCAGGGTGGGGAGCATGCTGCCCCCACCTCCCAGACTGGCTCTGTGCACCCACCTGCCACACGGCTGCACAGGCGGGAGCATCTCTGCCTGCATCACTACCAGCATCACCACGAGCATCGCTACCAGCATCCCTGCCCGCAGAGCTGCACCAGCTCCCATCACCGCCAGGCACAGCATGGGGCCCCGTTTGTCCTCCTCCTCCCTCCCTCCCTCCCTGAACACAAGGTGGCTGCTGCCACATCTCATCATCATCATCAGTGGGGCATTTCTACCTGGTTTTGTATTTCTCCCCCATTTAAGCCTCTGTCCCATTTCTCAGCCTCTCTCCAGCTGTTTGTGCACCTCTGCGGGGCTGGTCCAGCGCAGAGCCACCAAGATGATGAAGGAATGGAGCATCTCCCTGCTGAGGAAGGCTGAGGGAGCTGGGTCTCTTTAGCCTGGAAAAGAGGAGACTGAGGGGTGACCTAATCAATGTTTATAAATATGTAAAGGGTGAGTGTCAGGAGGATGGAGCCAGGCTCTTCTCTGTGACATCCAGTGACAGGACAAGGGGCAATGGGTTCAAGCTGGAACATAGGAGGTTCCACTTGAATAGGAGGAAAAACTTCTTTACGGTGAGGGTGACAGAGCACTGGAACAGGCTGCCCAGAGAGGTTGTGGAGTCTCCTTCTCTGGAGACATTCAAAGCCCGCCTGGATGCGTTCTTGTGTGATCTGATCTAGGTGTCCTGCTCCGGCAGGGGGATTGGACTAGATGATCTTTCGAGGTCCCTTCCAATCTCTAACATTCTGTGATTCTGTGAAGCCAGGCTCAAGGTCAAAAACCTTCGCAGATTCTTGCCAACCATCCTTCCTCTGCTCTTTTTAAATATCAAGTGCAAGATCTCATCCCTGATCTTCCATGCACTTAATGGTCTGAGCTCTGCACATCTACGAAATGACGCAGGGCTCTGGGGGTGTCCCTACTGGAATGCAGAAAAGTCAGATTTGTGGTTGAGAATGGACTTTTCCAGCTTACAATACAAACAGAAATGCTTTCTGGAAGTCAGGACCATTGCAAAATTTTCTCCTTCTGCTCCAGAAATACAGAAAATTTTATTAATTTTGCCTTCAGAGAAAGATGGATTTTATGTTGTCTTGAGCAAAATCCAACTGTGCCAAGCCTCACAGTTTTCTCTTCAGAAAAAAAGACAAAGGCTTATTTATATTGCAAATGGCAAGCATGCCCGTATGCCATGTAAAGTTTGTACTTTGGTTTAATACCACCACTGTATGTACTGGCAGGAAACCAGGGTGGCACAGGCCTGTAGATGTACGTTAAAGCGCTCGACGTACTAGGTATGACGTGTTGGTATCCCAATGGTCTGTCCCAGCCCTCTCCTAGAAAAGAACTACCCTTGTGTGTCAGTGCTCCTGGGCTGGAGACACTCGATTAATACATTTTTCAAGGTCCAGGGCTTTTAAATTGAAAAAGAAAAAGAAAAAGAAAAAGAAAAAGAAAAAGAAAAAGAAAAAGAAGAAAAAGAAAAAGAAAAAAAGAAAAAGAGAAAAAAGAGAAAAAGAAAAAGAGAGAAAGAGAGAAAGAACAAAAAATAAATTTGGAGGGCAGTATCTTCTTACACCATCTCCCCACCAACGCTGGTGATTCAGCCAGGCTGGTGTGCTGGCATTTGCTACCCTGGCACTCGATGGTCCCAGTGCCATGTCCTGCTCTGCAGCTCATCCCCGGTCCCCACCGGCTCAGGGACCCAGCACCTGCGGGGCTTCATCAGGTTCCCAACGTTTCCAACAGCTCCTGAAGCGAATATTTGCTCTTCTACAGCGCCTTGAGGCTGATGCATGAAAACTTTTATTAGTGTCATTTGCTCTTAATTGTGATTCCTACTTTGATTGTTTCTCCACTGGAGATAACGACAGTTAGTGGCAACCTGGAGAAAAGGGTGTGACCTCCTCAAAAACACTAAAGGAAAATCCATACTGTACTTGAGTGAAATTACTGCTTTTCTCTTAAATGTAGTTGGCAGCAAATCGAAGATGACAAAAGGAAGAAGAAGGTGGTATTTTGTGTTTTCAAGAGAAAGCTGGAAACAAAAATATAATGTCCATCTTATCTACATTACTTTTATCCATGTAAAGCCGTAATGGTTACTCTTCCACACCGCTGGCTTCCCAACAGTACAGACACTTGATCCAGGCGACCCATTGACCAAACGTCATGTTGGCCTCATCACTCCAACTCATCTAGTCATCAAAAGGCTTTGTACAGCTAAATCCTTATTCAGCACGAGGGATAAAATCAGGAGCGTTTGGGTTTTCAAGTCCGGCAAGAAGAAGATTATGAAATAAATTTGATATGAAATATATCAGAGAGCAGGATTTCACTTTCCAACAAGCTTCTGATCAGCATGACCCTTGCACAAATCCTCATCTTTCTGCCCCTGCCTTCTTTGAACAGTTTCAATATTTCCTCCATCCCACCTTTTTCTGCCAAGAAAGCAAGTCAACGCGATTCCCGGTGGCTGTAAGGAGGAGTGCTCAGGTCTGCAAGCACAATGACTGTGCAGACGGTTGAAGAAGGTGTTTACCAACAGCAAACCAAAGACAAGGAACTTTGAAGCACGTCAGAAGGGACGCGTATAAATTCGCCTTCAGTAAAATTTTCAGCACTTTCCAGACTGAGCTGGAATTCCCAGCAACATCGATTCAATTCAGGCCGGGTATGGCAGCAGGCTGATCTGTTTTTTGGCAGAGCTGCTTCAAAGGAGCCGCCGCTCCATGGATGGGTGATCATCACAGCTGATCATAAAGTATTGCATGAAACTTCTGTCTTAGCCATGGGGAGAGCCGGTGCGTGATGTACCCACGAAAGAAACAGCTCAGCTGGACAAGGGAGAGCTTTGACACCAAAGATCCATGCATGAGCAAACACAGCACAAGTGCACTCACAACCCTCAACATCTCCACGGCCGTGCTAGTCCCCAGGTGCGAAGGGTCAGATAAATCTGGCCAGCCCCATTGCCGCCTCTCACCTCCACTAACAGAGCCCCTGACCTCATATTTCATGTTATTAGGAAGGATGGTCACCATTTCCCATCAAAATCTGATCCTTTTTTTGATCGTGATTTGCAACGTGTATACGTGAATTTAAATAAAGCCACCAGACCTCCTCCAGCCTTCGGGAACAGCACTGCCCCTCCTCTCACGGTGCCACACACATTTCCATGACAGTGAACAAACCAGTTTTATCTCACCATACGGCACAAAGCATCCTCAGAGGCGTTAGCCAACAAGGTTTCATGGAGCAACTGCCCAAAGATAACCACACTATCACTGCAACGCTCGCGAATCCCTCTGGCACGGGAAATGGCAAGCCCAAGGATGCTCCAGAAACTTGCCTTTTATATCATCAAACACAAAGCTACTGCCAGCTGCCAGACCCAGCAAACAGGATCCGAAAGACTCGGAATACACTCGTAATTAGCTAAAGCAAATGTCATTAAATTTGAGCCGATTTTTTAAAGGGTCCCCCATCTCTCTGCAGTATGGAAAGGACGGATGGGTTGGAAGCGCACAAATACACAACACATGCTTCAGTGATACAACAGCACACAGAAACACCAACACACCTGATAAGGTCTGGTCCATCAGATTGGCTGCCAGGAACGTCACCGCCGGAGCAGACACAGCAGTTACCCGGGTGAGCTGCGTCGGCATCAAAGGACCCACGTGAGCATCCATTCTGGAGGCAGAACCTGCATTCAAACCATAAGGAAACCCTTTTTTTTTTCCCAATAAACAAAAAGGCCTTTAAAAAACTCACATTTTTCCAGCTGTAGTTCACAGAACACTCTTCAAACCTCCTGCTCAACATTTCTCCCCACACCCATTTGCATGGTTAAACCAACAGGTTTGTGTTCGGGTGAATTACTGGTCTAGTTTGGCTATGACATCTGTTGATTCTCAGCAAACAAGCACTAGTGGAAATTTTAAATTAATAAAAACATGGCCCTCAAAACAAGAGTTTGTAACAATACATTAATTCTTTCGGAACAGAGTACGGCAAGATCAGTTTTCTTATTTAAGACTAAATAACACACCTCCAGTTTCTACTGTTACTCGTCACAAGCTCTTTGCATCCTGGTCCATCCATGGGAAATTGTTTTGCCAATAATTTAAAATAGCAGCTTTATCCCAGGGAACCACAGGCTGCTCAGACAATTCACAAAGCAGAAAAATTGCTAAATTGCTCATATATGGTATTAATGATAAAGTAGCAACACAGGTCTGCAGCTAAAACCACGCTAGTTAAAGCAGGCTACTCAACCCTGGAGAATTCCCGGCTACTGCCCAATTTGAGCTCACACCTCGGACGTTAGCTCCCCACGAACACAGCATCACCCCTCTGCAGGAGCCAGCAGCTCAGTGCAGAGCACTGCCTGAACTCTGGGCTTCGTGGGTGCAGGATCAGGCCCCGAGACAACTGGAAAGTCACCTTAGACGAGTATTTTGCAAACAAACCCCACCTGCACCGCACACCCAGGAACATTTTCACCTGCACGCACACCTGCACGCAGAGCAAGAACCACCGGCCCTGCCGCTATGGCACATCAGTCTATCGCATCCCTACGTTTCTATTTTGGTGCCCTCCTCCCAAAGAAGCTTGAAAATCATAAGAAAAGCACATCTAATATTTTTACAGGCTTCTTCCCACCCTTCAGCCTTCACCAGTGCCTGGTGTACACCCCTCCTAGGAAAGGAAACTTTTCATTATTTCTCTTTTTTTTTTCTCCATTAAGTCAGGACAAGAGAAATTCCTGTAAGACACCATCAGCAGCATGATACAGAAATTACCACGCAAGGTGCTATGATAAATTTAACCCATAAGAAAGAATGATAACTAAATAAATGTATGGAAGAGGAAGAGGTCAGTGAGATGTTTTCTGTGCTACCTACAGCACAAGAACGTGGCACTTGTAACTTGGCCATCTCTAACAAGACAGCGAACCATTTGCCAGCTCGAGAAGATGTTCAGACCTCAGGCAACAACAGTTTCTTTTTTTCTGCTTCTGTCAAAGCCCTCGGCAAAACTATTAACTCTGGTGAGCTCTCTGGCTATAGAGAGACGCTCAGGACCCATCAATTCCAGCACTGAAGTCTACGGTGCCTCCAACTGCACGGAGCAGCCCTTGCGACAGCAGACTCACAACAGCCCCGCCAGCTCTGTGGAGATGCTCCTCAGGACACACACATGAACAGACAGAAATTCTGGCTTCCATATCCTCAGAGACCACTTCTTAAGCAGGGATTTCCATCTGTAACTTAGACGTACATTACTACACAATTCCCTGAATAATATTTTATAAAACAAGAGTTGTTTGGTTGTCTTGGCTTTTCAAAGTGATTTTAATGACAACAACAAGGACACTGTCATCCCATTGCTTCCACAGCCCTCAGAGATTCTATGATTCTCTACACCCAAAACTGGAATAATTTTCATAACGTGCTTAATTACCTCCCTCTAGTAGATGTATACCACTTGGGATGAGCTCTGCTCATCGCGGTACCGCAGTGTCTGCTGTGTCGAAATGCGACTTGCCATTCTGTAATTTCAGCTGCTTCTTTATGTTGATTTATTATCCCATCCAGGAACAATAAAATTATCAGTGCATCTTTTGATGTGGTGGAAGCAATTAGCTCGCAGCTAATTTCATCCCTATTGGAGCCAAGCATCCACATACACACACATATATACATTATTTCATACATGCAGATGGAGTTCAGCTGCTTCGTTTAATTATAGCTGATGCTCACCAAACAAGCTTGGATGATTTAAGGCAATCACAACCTTTCAGGAATAAATATTTATGCTTTCCAGTTCTTCGTGCTCATGCAAAGCAGTCTTTGCAACAGAGGGGTTGGAACACAGATAACCTCCGTGGACAGAGTTTAACGCCATCGCGCAACGTAAGCTTTCGGTAGGCGCTGAACACAGCCTGGGCTGGAGTGAGAGCTCTACAGCAACCGTACAGAACCGAATGCCCACCCACACACTCTGGGTATTTTAGGATTAAGTTTAGGCAAATTTTGCTATAAAACAATACTGAGGAGGGGGAGGATACAAAGCTTTTCTGTGAAGTTTCTGACGGCTGTTAGAGCCAAGGAGCCCTGACGAGTCACAAGCGATGCGTTTTGGGAACATCTGTCCATTTTTAAGATGATTTCAGTGCAGATGTCTTTTATTGTCACAAGCACAAGCAACCTACGTCTCAATTTAACCACAACGAGGATGTTCCAAGGATGATGCAGGACAACAGCGGACGAGTGGAAGGTTCAGAAATCTGAAGATCCTCTTGCAAGTGATCCGCTGCCTTCATTTGCATCCCTGAGGAGCCAAGCTGATCTCCACCTTTGATGATGGAACCCAGCGGGGAGAGCTGGAGTGTTGGGAATGGTTACAGCCACACTGGCTGAACTGGGAAGGGTTATAATGGCCAACCCCATCACCCAGCATGGCTGAATTGCTGGGAAATTCCCCATCACATAACCGACCGCCTGCCTCACCTCCAGCAGAAATCACCGCCCCCAGGCACACACCAGGACTCAAATTCAATTAGAGAGCAGACTTTTCCCAGAACAGACAACTAACCTTTCCACCTTTGTTACTTCTAGCAAACACTACTGAAAGGCTATTTCTTTTTTGACCCCATATATCCAGCCCGATCACTGTTGCCGGCTCCCTCCTTGACTTGCTCATGGCCCAACGAGACCCCAGCAGAGGGAGCAGATACATTACTGATGCTCGTGACCCGGCAGAAAGGGACAGGACACATTTTCAGGGGAAAACCGTTCTTCAGAAATGTTTACTCTGTGCCTCAGCCGACCCACGGGCTCCCATCGCTCCATTACACAGCGCGGGGATGTTAACGAGCCGCGTTAAGAGGAGTCACGTTGCCCATGGCAAAATAACAATAATAACAAGATACCACCCTCCAATAACATGACACTGGTCCTGGACCGCACCGCAGCTGGGCACGGCAGCTGAGGTCTCCTGCTGTGAAATTTTAATTCTTACCTTTTCCAATAATTTTCCAACACTATCTTAAAGCTATTCTTGCTCACGTCAGCAAGGGTTTAAGCCTAACTTTCCTCACTGTGATCCAAGGAGTCTTTATCAGCACTGCACCCAAAAGAAGAGGGGCCATGTAGGTTTTTTAACATATTCAGACTAAAAATATCCGTAGCACAGACCTAATCTTACCAAAGCTTTTCTTCCTGCGATGCATTTGCATCTTGCAAAGCTACTCTTTATGCCACAGGACAAAAGATCTTAATGCATTATTGAACAGCGCAGTTTGTCATTCATATTTGTTTTTGCTAAATATATCTCAGATCTTGTTTTTATTAATGGCTTTGTACGACTGCCTCATGGACAGCATCAACCGAAAGAGCCCAACGTGGCCGGGTGACAGCGGCATGGGGCGCATCGCATGCAGAGCAGGGAAAAAAAACGCTGGGTTTCAAAAACTGAATGGTTTTCATACACCTGAAAACATCCCCTTATTCCATTCATCTCTTTCATCTTTTCTCACCTTTTACGACACACCTCATATTTGCCTGGGGTTGTATATTTGTTTCAAAATTGTGAAAAAAGCATTTAACTCTGTGTCACTGGGATTAGATGGTTAAAGAGGAATATAAACTGGGGACACCTTTGAGAATATTAATCCTGTTTCACCTGAAATGATGTAGCCAGGAATAGTTTTTTAAAAAACCCACCAACTCAAACGTTGCCTATCCATCTCCTGGTTTGCACAATTTCTCAGTTACCAGAGATAAGGTACAAAAGCGAACCATCACCCTTCTCCCGACTGGCTCACCCCAGAGAAGGGCACCCAGGACAAGCATGCCAGCCCAGCACCGCCAGACACTCAACCCTGCAAAGACACGGGGATACGTTCACTATGTACAGGAATGGTTGGGGTCATAACTAATCAAGACACCCACTGAGCACCAGCAATGCCAAGTCATCTCACTGATCCCAAGACCGAGGAACCCCCATTCCCATGGAGCAGCCCCAGCAGGTTCCCCCCGAAGCAGGACCCACCCGCTGGGGGTGCTGGGCAGGAGACCAAATCCCACCCCCAGTCTCTATCTGAGCCTATTTCCCTTAGCTGGGGTACCACTAGAAAATTTTTCCCAGAAAAAAAAAATACAAAAAAAAAAGAGAATTATTCCTCCTGTTATATTTCACTAATAACCATCTGCCTGTATTCGCTTGTCAAATTCTGACCTGCCATTAAGAGAAAAGAAAGCAAACAAAGGATATTTATTTGACAACGGTGAAATGACACCAAACATCCTCAATAATTCACAACAAATAAGAGAAATGCAAACAAATAATTCAAAGCAGGAAGGAGCTGCCTGGGAGAAGAAGCTGGGTACATCTGGTCCCGCAGCCCCCTCCCCGGCAGAACCGACACGCTCCGGGGGGCTGGCGCTGCCGCAGGGGTCCATTCCCATCGGTCCCATCCGCTCCATGTGCAGGTGGTGACTCCCAAGGGAAAGCAATGCACCGAAATGGGGAGAGAAAACCCCTCTGCAGCACGGTACCCCAGCGTGGGGGAAAAACAGGGAGAAGGAGGGGAGATGCTGATGACAAGGATGCCCTCCCTGAAGGGTGCCCTCCCTGAAGGGTGCCACTGCGGTACCCGCTCCCCGCTGGCAGAAGCAGGGCTCCAGCAGCTGTCCCATC